GGTCCTATTCAGTTAGCGGTGTTGTGATAATGAGTAGTGTATAGGCAATTACACCTAAAGTGTAGTGAACATCCTGAGCGTTCAGTCACCAGTGAGTCTCAGTCCCCGCAGCTCAGCACACTGGCAGATGTTAGGGAGAACAGAACAGAGCTCCTTCCCTGGGCTCTCCCTGCCTTCTTCCTCTTCTCTCTCTCTCTTACACCTCGGCCATCTTCTCCTCTCTCTCCCCCCCCCGCTCTTTCTACAGGACTGTCTGTTTAGGTAGGGCACCAGAGTGTTCTTAAACTTTCCTTCATCCTACATACAACATCCAAGGGATCTAGGATTGTCTGCATCCCTCCCTTAGCTCCACTGCTCTTCAGTGACCTAGAAGGGCAGAGGAGTCATACATAACCCCCATCCTCTGCCATCTCAACCCCAGCCTCAGTCAGGCCAGAGTGGCTGAGCCAGGCTAGAGTGACTGATATAGAGCCAGGGTGATGTAACTGGCAGTGAGGTCAGTCCTGAGTTCACTGGCCGGATGTTTTGTGCCAGACGCGACACACAATCCTGGAAGTTCCTGGCCTAGTAATCTTCCTAATACACCAGCAGATTGCTGCAATGTTAGTCAGGGTGTGTGTGGACTACAGAGACACACCCCCTCCTCTCTCCTCTGTACCCTCTCCTGGTGTGACCATCTGAGAGGAGCAGAGTTAGACAGAGTCCATGGTGCTGGAGGCAGAAGTGCTGTCCCCTAGCGCCCTCTGTTGGACTGGCACTGCATCTCAGACAGAAAAGGGCGCTCCACTCCAAACTGATATAGGACTTTTACACGTCACATGATAATGTAGCAGGACTTTTTTTTTTTTATCCAAAAGCTACTTACACTTAATATACATTATACAGCATTTTGTCGGTGTCCTGGAAAAACCTTTTCAGGAATAAAAAAAAGGTTTATTTTCAAATCCACCGCCGTGTATTAATGAAAGTTCACAAGGTGTTTTGAATGACTTATTACTCCTAGAGTCATAAAACTCTCAACATTCAGGGGGATGACTACTTTCAATTTATGTGCGACTTTTTGCCAGGACAGCGACAATATGTAGCCCATGTATGGATCAAAACTACAAACATGTTGATGTTGCTTGAACCAACTGTGCCATCAGAACATTGTTAACATTCTTCTAGCATGGTCCCAGATCTGTTCATGCCAACCTTAAGAGTTGACTATACAGCACAGACAGACATTCTACAAGGAAGTTGTATACAGAGTCAAAAGGAAGTTGTACAGACCCAAAGTGATCGAGATGTAGATTTATTTCATGCTACAGCAGTACAATTCATGATCATCATTCAATACAACCCAAAGAAAATAAATAAGGCAAAACATTCCTGATTAAGTTAATTTGCACTTTAAGTAAAAGGAAGTAGAAAGTAGTCAAGTTTTAAAATTGCAAATATTTCCAGATATGGGGTGGTCACAGACGATACTGCAGCACTTTTATATGGTAATTCAGTCCGGATTTGCATGGATAGCTTTATCAATTAAAATATAGTTGAAATCAGTTACTCAAGGAGGTAAAATTGGTTACATTCATTCATTAATTTGTTCATTTTCAATCAAAAACAATTTTCAGTAGTTTAAGCACAGAATAATATAACATTTACTTGTTTTATCAGTACAGTTATTACCTCACATTGCCTCCAAAGTTGCTATAATGTCAGACTTCAAACAAAGCAATGGGAGAATGTCTGATAATGTCATCTAACACACGTCTTATTCTATAGAATTCATTGATTTCCCCATAGACTTTTTACTCTACAATGAACATGATAACGATTGTAGATAGAAACTGGGACAACAGCTCTGTCTGCAGCAGACAATCCATTGGAAGTTAGATTGGGTACACGATTGCATAGAACTGCTGCTGTTAACTTTTGATATTGATATTCTGCACCAGTATCAAAGTGTACATTTCCATAAATATTGATTCAAACGTCATACCATTTATATGCCTACTAACTAGGCAGTACACAGTGAGATACACCTGACATTGTATATTTCAAACTCCGGCATTAGATTTAAAAAAACTTTAGGGGAGCATTCAGGAAGTCTGTCAACGTTCCAACAAAGTTCAAACAACTTTACCACAACATTGGACTGTGGTGTGTTTAAAACTTAGGGAAGCATTCAGGAAGGAAGAACATTACAATAGTAAGTCTCAAAACCATCCTGACAACGTTCATAAATGCTCAAGGCAACGTTCATGAACATTCTTACATCACAACATTGGGGTGTGGTGTGTCGAATACCGCCACCTTGAAGGAGCTGGGACCACATACACGATACTTCTATATTATACTTCTCTTATATTGATATCTCTTCATTTCTTTCTTTTTATAAAATGTTTTGATTGTGTGTATTGTTTTGTATTGTTAGGTATTACTGCACTGTTGGAGCTTGAAACACAAGCATTTCGCTGCACCTGCAAATCTGTGTACGCAACCAATAAACTTTGATTTGATTATTTGGCAGTTTACATACCCACACTCAACTCTACCCTCTGGGTCTTCATCCTTCTGTATCATCACTACATTATTTGGTTTGTCAAGGTGTCCTTGTGATTTATACACTCACCTGTACCAAGGCTATAAAGAACAGAAGTACCCACACAATTCACTGTAGTTTCTAATTCGCTCCACTAACTGAAGCTATTCAAAAACAGTATCAATACGGATATAGTAGTACTGTACCCAATATATGCAGTACCAATAAAGTAGCGATTCTATCACGTTCTAGAGAACATAGAATCCCAAAGAACAGTTTCCAAAGACCTCTAGTGTTCTGATGATGATGCTTGAGTGATGTCCACAATGACATTCCATTAATGATATTCAACAAGCACCTCTGCTACCCTGTATCCTAAATGGCACCCTATTCCCTATACAGTGCACTACTTTTGACCGGGGACCATGGGGCAGTTAGGTGCAGTAGTGCACTATATAGGGAATAGGGTGCCATTTAGCTCTGTCTCAGCGAGTGCTTATTAGAGCCAATCTGAGGGCAAAGTGTTTCATTGATGATAGAAAGGTATTGATACTGTTTGTATTCAGGAGAGGATGTGAGTTTCAGTCTGGATGGGAGGAGATAGAAGGAAAACAAGTGAGATGAGAGACAGAAGCAGATATATAACGAGAGAGAGAGCGAGACAAGCAGCTGTCTCAGTTCCCAGTAGCCCCATCCTTTAGCACTAATCTGTACAAAGGGCCAGAGGCTGGCCTGTCTCCCCGTCCACCCCTCCATCCCCCTGCGAACACATCTGGGTGGACAAGATAAGGCCCCCAAGACACACACACAGAGGAGGGACAAGGGGATGTAGAATGGGTAGCTAGCACATTGGGTGTGTGTTTTTGTCCTGCTGTGCATTTGTTCCCGTTCCATCTCTCTGGATCTCTAACTCTCTCTACATCAGCACATTTAAAAGAGCTTGATCAGTGGTCCGATCACACACACACAGCTTATTAAAACAGGCAAACCAAGCAAAAGAGAGAGAGAGGGACCATTACAAAACCAGTCAAGTCTCCTCCAATTAAAATCTGAGACAAGACAATACAAAAAGCTTTTCCTCAATTTCAACCACAAACCATGAAAACCTGCCATCTTCACACACACACACCACAAATAATCAAAAGTGGAACAAAGAAAATAGCCCTTACGCAAGCCTCAGACAGATTACATGATGTATTCCAGCCATGCCATGGCAGAACTTTCATTTCGTAATACGGAGATTAGAACACAATCATGCCAACGGTTTCAGCAGCTAACCCTGCCTCACACTTCTCCTCCTTTCCGCACCAACCTGTCTCCATATAGGTAGTTTGTCTATATCATACAATGTTTAATGACCACGTCACCATTAGAGCCCCAATGTATATACTGCACCATGGTACACTTTCAAAGGGACTGTAAGAAAAATGAACTGAATTAAGTTTATAGCCCCTATAATAGGACCCTTATTTGTTGATAAACTGCTGCTTCGAGATTTCATGGGATAAAAGGCAAATTGATGAGGTGACAGCTGATCAGCATGTTGGTCAGAACGGTAAAGGTGGGAAATATGAGCGTTAAAGACTAAATCCACAAAAAACACTAATCTGTATAATTTACAGTGTTAAGTAACACTAAATGTGAGAACAATATTTCCTGTGAACAAATGTTTCATTTTGTCTTTATAATAAGGTTGGTAGCAACGTGAAAATCGTTGTGGAAATCTGTTGCAGCTCAAGTCGACTACAAAACCCACAATGCAATGCTCTATGGGCTGGCTAGCTAGCAAACGTCGCTAGACACAATAACACCAAAGACAATATCAGCATGTGAAGTAGCTAGTTACTGAAACTGTAAAATAGCCTAAACTGCACTATGAATTTAGGAGTCTACAATCTCACCATGTTCAACCTGCAGATCGATGTACCTCGATGTGAGTGGAGTCTTACATTCGCAATGGCCATGCAACGGCACCATGCAACGCACCCTGGACTGAAGAGGCAGACAAATAGGAAAAATGTGGTGGACCCTCTTAAATTAAGACATTTCGAGGTAGGAATATTACAAAAACATGATCAATGGCTAATTTGAGAGAAGATAACCTCCCGTGATATGAGATCAAGCCAGTACTGAAATCTGACGTGTATGATAGACGTTTTAGCGATCTAAAAGTCGTATTCCTATTAACTTCCAGTGTAGTGAGAGCGGCTTTATTTCTGCCTGCTTGAACGACAATAGCTCAGATAAACATGAAATTACCCCGGGAATTGATATAACATCACTCAGAGATGAACAAAAACAATACAGTCAAAATGAGTGAATCTGTCCTTTAAGAGTACAGACTGACTCTGGGTCAGTGAGTACAGATAACTTTCTTATGGGGTGGTAGATTGAAGAAGCAAAAGAAACACCCCTCCAGTGGCTCTTTGGTGCGTTCCTTCACATAGTAAGTGTTGAAATGGAAGGACAGCCCTGGGTTATACCATTCAAGATAGATGGAGGGGAACCATAGAAAAACAATTAAGAACGTTAAAAATACCTGAGAGAGAGAGAGAAAGGAAGTATGCGAATGAGAGAGGGGCAGAGTAAAGAGAGAAAGAGGGATAAAAAGAAGTACAGAAAGAGGGAAGAAAGAAAATACTATTTGTTCAAAGACATTTCCCCACACCAAATTACATTCAGTTACATCATAGTTGAATATAAAATGGAGAATCAGGTACTAATCACCCACTTTGATTGGGCAGAAAAAAGGGGCGAATACAGTATTTCTCATTAGTGAGGAGAAGAGCAGAAACCCTTAGGGTACACCGTGTCATTTTATGGGAGCAGCAAGCAGCAGACTTTCTTCATTCTAAAGCGGTTCTTTCTTTTCTTTGTAGCACCAGCTAAAAGAACATCTCCTTAGGGCAAACTCATAAAAGAGCAGCGGTCTCCGTGGTAACAACTCAACAAGCCTTTTTCCTGTGATGAGGCCTCTTTATGACATCACTCACTACTAAATAGATAGACGAGTGTTGGTTTCTCTATCCTAGGGCTCTCTAGGGCCAGCCTCCTGCTCCTGGTAGTGTGCAGTGTGTAAAGGTGTTTTTGGTAGTATTTTTGTTCAGCAGCGTCGTTAGCACTCGTTAGCGTTAGCATCATTGTCGTTAGCCTCCAGGAGGTGGTGGTATAGGAGAGTAGCGAGGCTCTGCAGTGTTTCGCCTCTAGAGCCATCCTAGTTGACTCGCCATATTCTGGCTCGCCGTTTTACATGTGTTTTGAAGAGTGTGTGTGTGTCGCCATCACACCACTCTAGACGAGGCCCTCAGGTCAGTAGAACTTGCCATCGATGCGGAAGTGCGGCCTCGTGACATCATCGGGGTTGAGAAAAACAGAAATCGACTTCCCGGGGTTCTCTGTCACCAGCTGCTGCAGCCTGGCAGCCAGCTTGTCGTCCGAGGGTGAGATGATGCCGCTGGCCAGGTACCCGTGCCTCGGCGACCCTCCATGCCCGTTGGTAGCGCCCGCCGCTTCCCTCTTCAGCTGGCCCGCCTGTCTGGCCTGGTCCAGGGCCACCTGGAGGTGCTCAGTCGGGTCAGACCGGACATGGGCCAGCTTCCGGGCCACCAGCAGGGCTTGGCTGTCCGACAGGTGCTCCAGCATGTTGCATTGGGGCAGAAAGTAGTTGGGACAGTTCTTACCCAGGATGCAGTGGGCCAGATCATCCAGGAGGCCCAGGAGGAGGCGGGCGGGGGTGTCTGGGTCGGGCGAAGAGAGGTAGGCGGGCGGTAGGCGGTCGCAGGCCCAGAAGAGGAGGGTGCGGAGGTGGTAGGGGCTGAGGCCAGTGCGGGGGCGAGCCAGGAGGCGGGAGAGGACAGCCTTGGCAGCCTGGAAGGCCTGGGCCATGGGGAACGGGATGCACTTCTTCAGCTGCACCTGGAGACAGACATGGCAGGAGGGAGACAAAGATATGGCAGCCAGGTCAGACTGAATTGAATTAAATAGACTTCATTAATCTCACGAGGGGTAATTGGATTTGTCACCAGCATGACGCATACAGCATCAACATACAGTACACATGCATGCACCAGAGACAAAGCCCTGATGGATGTTATAGTGAAGCTAAATATTAGTTGAGCCATTTCCAACGGTATTTAAAGACAGTTAAGAACCATACTACTTTCATATTTAAAGTTCAAAATGTTTCACCTGTAAGTGTCACGTTTCAACTGTAAGTGAACCTGTACTTCCGCTTAGTTAAGCATCAGTTTCTATTTAAAGGTAAAGTCAGAGACGCACAAAGTCAACATCAGAATAGGACAGACTTCGGCAACAACTAAGAGTATGACACAGAAGGCTAAAACTAGCATGTTGTAGTAGCATGAAGCGCACCCGTGGACATGCGCAGATACTCTTGGTGAGTGCATCGAGCTTATCTGCAATTCATTCAGCTGCTTGTGGCGATTACATATTGCTGAGTTTCAGTTTCACAAATTAGGCTAGCTAGCCATTTTGTCCAGCAGAAATCCCATGCCCAATCTAACTATATAGAGTTGAAGTCGGAAGTTTACATACACCTTAGCCAAATACATTTAAACGCATTCCTGAAATTTAACCCTAGTAAACATTCCCTGTTTTAGGTCAGTTAGGATCACCACATTATTTTAAGAATGTGAAATGTCAGAATAATAGTAGAGAAAATGATTTATTTCAGCTTTTATTTCTTTCACCACATTCCCAGTGGGTCAGAAGTTTACATACACTCAATTAGTATTGGGTAGCATTGCCTTTAAATTGTTTAACTTGGGTCAAATGTTTCGGGTAGCCTTCCACAAGCTTCCCACAATAAGTTGGGTGAATTTTGGCCCATTCCTCCTGACAGAGCTGGTGTAACTGAGTCAGGTTTGTAGGCCTCATTGTTCGCACACGCTTTTTCAGTTCCGCCCACAAACTTTCTATAGGATTGAGGTCAGGGCTTTGTGATGGCAACTCCAATACCTTGACTTTGTTGTCCTTAAGCCATTTTGCCACAACTTTGGAAGTATGCTTGGGGTCATTGTCCATTTGGAAGACCCATTTGCAACCAAGCTTTAACTTCCTGACTGATGTCTTGAGATGTTGCTTCAATATATCCACATCATTTTCCTTCCTCATGATGCCATCTATTTTGGGAAGTGCACCAGTCCCTCCTGCAGCAAAGCACCCCCACAGCATGATGCTGCCACCCCCGTGCTTCACGGTTGGGATGGTGTTCTTCGGCTTGCAAGCAACCCCCTTTTTCCTCCAAACATAACGATGGTCATTATGGCCAAACAGTTCTATTTTTATTTCATCAGAGCAGAGGACATTTCTCCAAAAAGTATGATCTTTGTCCCCATGTGCAGTTGCAAACCGTAGTCTGGCTTTTTTATGGCGGTTTTGGAGCAGTGGCTTCTTCCTTGCTGAGCGGCCTTTCAGGTTATGTCGATATAGGAGTCGTTTTACTGTGGATATATATACTTTTGTACCGGTTTCCTCCAGCATCTCCACAAGGTCCTTTGCTGTTGTTCTGGGATTGATTTGCACTTTTCACACCAAAGTATGTTAATCTCTAGGAGACAGAACGAGTCTCCTTCCTGAGTGGTATGACGGCTGCGAGGTCCCATGGTGTTTATACTTGCGTACTATTGTTTGTACAGATGAACGTGGTACCTTCAGGCGTTTGGAAATTGCTCCCAAAGATGAACCAGACTTGTGGAGGTCTACAATTTTTTTGCTGAGGTCTTGGCTGATTTCTTTTGATTTTCCCATGATGTTAAGCAAAGAGGGACTGAGTTTGAAGGTAGGCCTTGAAATACATCCACAGGTACACCTCCAATTGACTCAAATTATGTCAATTAGCCTATCAGAAGCTTCTAATGCCATGACATCATTTTCTGGAATTTTCCAAGCTGTTTAAAGGCACAGTCAACTTAGTGTATGTAAACTTCTGACCCACTGGAATTGTGATACAGTGAATTATAAGTGAAATAATATCTGTCTGTAAACAATTGTTGGAAAAATTACTTGTGTCATGCACAAAGTAGATGTCCTAACCGACTAACAACACATTTGTGGAGTGGTTGAAAAACAAGTTTTAATGACTCCAACCTATGTGTCTGTAAACTTCCGACTTCAACTGTAGCTATTCAAAAGAAGCAGCTACCCGATGGTTAACTAGCCAACTAGAATGTGCCGCTAGCTACCCACCTCGCTGCGTGAGAAGGCAAGCCTCCACTCCCGGTCGGGCCTCCCCCCCAGCGGAGCCGGGCAGGGCAGCAGGTAGAACCCAGCGATGGCCTCTTCTTCCGTGATCTTCCCGTCCCAGAAGTGGTTGGCCGTCAGCCAGCCCTGGGCCACCGCTGGCCAGCCCCGGAAGGACACCACTGGCAGCAGGTCATAGAGCACCCGGCTAGAGCCCGCCTGGAGGATGAGGGTGGTCAGGGGCCCGTTGCGTTCAAGCCTCTCCGGGATGGGGATGCCTCTCTTGGGGGAACGCCTCAGCTCGTCCACCGCCTCACCCACCACCCCCCAGAACCAGTCAGCCACCAGCGCCGGGGAGAAGTAGCAGCCATCCAGAGACTGGTGGGGCGACTGGAATCAAATACAAATCGAACTTTATTTAAAGCGCATTTAAAATCAATGCAACACACTTTAGAGTAAAACACAATAAAAAAAGACAGTAAAACACAGTAAAACTCAAAGCAACAAAAGAGAAGAAAACACATTACGTAGAGGGAGGTGGGGACGTCACCAGAGGCTTTGTGACCCATTTCCCTTTTCTCTTCCTCCTCATCATCCTCGGGGGGTAACTCTGTCTCCTCCTGGCAGCAGATCCTCCACCTTGCCAGGGTGTTGGGGTCGCAGAGCCGCAGGGAGAGCCAGGAGTGGCAGGGGGCCGACTGGCGCATGTCCAGAGTGACCGGCTGGTTGAGATTAGAAGAAACAATACTTTATAATACTTTTTCCTGAGACAATACTAGTATTTGTTTTGCATCAAACTTCATATGACATAATATAGAAAAGTTCAAAAAGGGGACACAGTAAAAACATCACAACACACACAACTTAATTATACGTTTCCCATCCCATCCGTATTGCACCTACCTGGTTGCGGTCGTGCAGCTTGAGGGCGGGCACCAAGAGGGTGAAGTCCAGGTCGAAGTCAGCCCCCTTGGCGTAGTCCCCCAGCTCCTCTGGGTTGAGGTCCAGGACGCCCTCCCTGGCACCCCCAGAAAGGAGCAGGTACTCATTGGCCACCGGGAGACGCTTGTCCACATTCTGTACTAGGCCTGGAGGAAGAAACACACACAAACAAGCATAATATGAAATTCTAAAAGCAGACACTTGAGCAGTTCTGCTTGGTTACAAGCCAATTCAATGCAGACATTCATGAAGTATTCATGTAATAGTGCAGTAGTGATATTGACAAAAGTAAATCAGGAAGCTATGTGCACTACTTCACAGGAGAGGCATTTGAACGTAAACATATATTTTTTTAATCAAAATGAGTGTTTTTTTTGTTGAAGAAATGCCTTCTGGAACATGTGAACTTTCATGTGCCTTAATAACAAATGTGTATGTCATCTGTAAATACAAATAGAATTGTTATATTACGAGCCTAGTTGGTTTAGCCAAGGTAAAAGTCCGGAACCTTCCCGCTATCCATGATTGGCTGAGATAATGGGTGGGCTGGACATGCCAAGACATGAGTTTGGATTGGTCTGTCATGTACCATGCTTCTGTCTATAACATGAACTGCTCAGTATGTGTAAATAATCCTTGCTACCATGTTTCTTTTATTTTTATATGGAGAACTGCAAAAGTGTTGCTCCTGCTCTCAACAACATCGCTGCCCTGAATTTAGCAGGCGCTATAGACAATGGTCAGTGGGAAAAAGTTGTGATGACTACCTTCTGGAGATTGATAGTGCCATGCTGACTGAAAATTAATCAGACTATAAGGAAATCCCCGATTTTTAATTTTTATAATTGAACCAGACATTGTAGAGTTTTCTGATGACAGTGATGGGGAAGAAACGGTTATGGTAAATTGTTTAGCTACCTAGCTAACTTACAAATAATATTACCACAGTCTTTTTTACATGTATCTCAGAAATCTATTTGCATTGCTAATCATAGCCTAATGTTAGCTAGCTAACATTGAACTTAGTTGGTTAGCTTTAGCTACCTGCAGATTCATACTACAGCATTTCATCCATGGTGTCCATTGCTTGTGTTTCTTGACCCAAGCAAGTCTCTTCTTATTATTGGTGTCCTTTAGTAGTGGTTTCTTTGCAGCAATTCGACCATGAAGTCATGATTCACACAGTCTCCTCTGAACAGTTGATGTTGAGATGTGTCTGTTACTTGAACTCTGGGAAGCATTTATTTGGGCTGAAATTTCTGAGGCTGGTAACTCTAATGAACTTATCCTCTGCAGCAGAGGTAACTCTGGGTCTTCCTTTCCTGTGGCGGTCCTCATGAGAGCCAGTTTCATCATAGTTCTTGATGGTTTTTGCGACTGCACTTGAAGAAACTTTCAAAGTTCTTGACATTTTCTGGATTGACTGACCATGTCATAAAGTAATGATGGACTGTCATTTATCTTTGCATATTTGAGCTGTTCTTGCCATAATATGGACTTGATCTTCTGTATACCACCCCTACCTTGTCACAACACAACACAACACAACTAATTGGCTCAAACGCATTAAGAAGGAAATAAATTTCAGGCACACCTGTTAATTGAAATGCATTCCATGTGACTACCTCATGAAGCTGATTGAGATAATGCCAAGAGTGTGCAAAGCTGTCACCAAGGCAAAGGGTGGCTACTTTGAAAAATCTCAAATATATTTTGATTTGTTTAACACTTTTTTGGTTACTACATGATTCCATGTGTTATTTCATAGTTTTGATGTCTTCCCTATTATTCCACAATGTAGAAAATAGTTTAAAAAATAAAGAAAAACCCTTGAATGAGTAGGTGTGTCCAAACTTTTAACTGGTACTGCATATAAATGCGAAGCAGGCACACGTCTTTCACTGACCTGTGTAAAGACAGACTGACAGGGATGTGACAATTGACATTTATCTAATGTTATTTTGTTGTTGTTTGCAGGTGCACTATACTTCTGGCCTTATGCAGCCAGGTCAAATCTACTTTTTAACTCCTCGCAAGTGTGGCTTCTTTGGTGTATGCTGTGAAGGAATACCACAACAAGTCAACTACTTGATTGATGAAGGCATGTCATCCAGCAAAGGCAGCAGCGCAGGCATCAACTACTTCACCAACTACGGAGTTGGGGAAACACGTGTGGACCTGAATTGTGATAACTGCAGTGGCCAAAACAAGAACAAGTTTGTGCTCTGGTATTGTGCCTGACAGACCATGCACAAGCTCCACCACAGTCTGGACCTTCACTTCCTGATCACAGGCCACACCATGTTTGACCCCGACTGGTGCTTCTGCCTCTTAAAGCAGCGCTTCAGAAAGACCAGAGTGAACACAGAGATTGCTGGTGTGGTGAAGGACATCACTGTGACAGGGGTCAACATCCCACAGCTGGTTGGACTGGAGGATGGTACGGTGCTGGTGGAAAGCTATGGCTGGCAACAACACCCGACTCCATACTTCAGGCCGCTGCCACAGATCAAGCAGTACCAGCACTTATGGTGAATATCATTTTCATTTAATTGTATGAGGTTATTCTTCTTATCTAAACTCGGGAGGTGAATTGATGTTAAGGTTGTAATTTCTTATCTATTGTTTTGTCTATTTTCCTGTTTTACACCTTTGATGCTCTGGAGTCTGGTGTTGTTGTCGCCAAGGAGTGTTTGGACTCAGTCGGACCAGGTTTCAGCTGCTGCGCAACGCTGACGTCCTTCCTCCCATAGATGGTCTGCCTGTACAAGCACCACCTGGATCAGACAACTAGACAAACTTCTCTTTCAGAAGAACAGGGAGTTTTGCGACAAATAGGGCATGAACATCACATGCCCTGCACCAAAGTAAAGGGCAGGACAGAAACAGGCTCTCCGAATATAGATTCCCCTGTTCATGTGTGGTGTGGACGGACCAGATCATCACTGGGGGCAAGTTCCCAGTCATCCGGATTATCTGCAGTGCCTCTATGCACATTCACGACTCTCTCCTAACACACGCCATACGTTGCTGCTACAATTTTTATTTTTAATCCTGCTACTCAGCCACTTTACCCCTGATTGTATGCATACAGTATAACTACTTAATCTATCACTGATATCGTTATTGATATTGTGCTTGTACATACTGTATATTATTGTGCTTGTACATACTGTATATTATTGTGCTTGTACATACTGTATATTATTGTGCGTGTACATGCTGTATATTATTGTGCGTGTACATACTGTATATTATTGTGCTTGTACATACTATATATTATTGTGCTTGTACATACTGTATATTATTGTGCTTGTACATACTGTATATTATTGTGCTTGTACATACTGTATATTATTGTGCTTGTACATACTGTATATTATTGTGCTTGTACATACTGTATATTATTGTGCTTGTACATACTGTATATTATTTTGTTCTTTCTCTACTGGCATGAACACTTTGTTCTTTTTTAAAAATAGTGATACTTTCTATTTTTGATATTGCTACTATGCAAGTAATCATTTCACTGTACCGTTTACATCCTGTGCATGTGACAAATAAACGTTGATTGTATTTTGTGTGTGTTTACCAGAGACGGTAATGGGAAGAACAACATGACCTGCACCAAAGTCAGATTAGGATACAGGCCAAGGACTAGATAAAGTGTAATTTTACTACTACTTTTTGCTACTACTTTCACCACTTTTAGTCTTGAAATCTTTGGTTGTTTACTACACTACCTTACTCTGTTTAGCACATGGCCTCACATGTGAATTCTTAAAGAGATGGGTGGGGCTAAGGCTTAAGACGGAGTGAACGATGCTGAATGGGTGTGAACAAAGAACTGTAAAAACTTAACCAAAACCTTTTCAAGGGCCATTTATTAAAAGTGGGGTTTCAAGTTTATCAACTTTCAAAGCAGAATACTTTCCCATTGTTCCTCAACTACAGTGTATGATATACCATTTTGTAGCTCTGAGTCTGTATTCAAATGTTACTACATAAGACTGAAAAGAGGTGCTGGGTCATATGAGGTCCACACAGCTCCCTCCGTGACTGTGGTGAATGGTTATGTTATTCTCCACACTAGCTGGTCGTCCTCAACCAACACTGGCTTTCCACTCCTAGAGGGAGTCTTTACTGAATACAGCCTGACTGACTGTGCAAACAGCAAGAGCTCAGACAGGGGGGAATAGGAGTGGGAGAATAGAATAGGAAAAATGTAAAGCCTCATTCATCAGATGACAACTGAAGTGCAACACTATTTGGCAAGCAGCCACACAAGTAAATAAGCTAACAATGAAAAAGCAAGGTATTTTTTTGCAAAAACAATGAATCCATAGCCATCATATTTCTAATGTTTATCATAGAAAGAATGTAGCCAGCTACATTTCCTAATGTTTTGCTTAAAGTTCATCTTGCATTTTACAGGACAAAGTCTGCTACACTGAGAAAAGTAGCTCCACATCAGTCAGAGAGCTGTCTGCAGATAGAATGCCTGTTGGTGAATTCTCACCTGAGTGGAGAAGTGCAACTGAAGCACAACATTAGTCTGATACAGAGCAGAAATTACAATAAGAAGCATTTTAGATCTGCATTTTGAAAACACAGCAAGATATTTCTTATGCGTTTTATAAATGTTTTTCTGAGTGAAAAACACAATTCTGCATTAACGCGACCCCTGGTTACATTGTTTACAGCGAATACAAATGTTGGAAGGTCGCAGCTTCCTAATGGGAGTTAACGGGAGGTTTAGAATGTTGAATAAATCCCATTAAAGTGGATGAAGTTGGATAAAAGTTTAATAGTTAACCCTTTAGGCCCCAATAGAATTCTAGAATGCGGATAGCCAGGGGCACGCTCCAACACTCAGACATCATTTACAAATTAAGCATGTGTTTAGTGAGTCCGTCAGATCAGAGGCAGTAGGGATGACCAGGGATGTTCTCTTGATACAGTGGGGGAAAAAAGTATTTAGTCAGCCACCAATTGTGCAAGTTCTCCCACTTAAAAAGATGAGAGAGGCCTGTAATTTTCATCATAGGTACACGTCAATTATGACAGACAAAATGAGAAGAAAAAAAATCCAGAAAATCACATTGTAGGATTTGTAATTAATTAATTTGTTAATTATGGTGGAAAATAAGTATTTGGTCAATAACAAAAGTTTCTCAATACTTTGTTATATACCCTTTGTTGGCAATGACACAGGTCAAACGTTTTCTGTAAGTCTTCACAAGGTTTTCACACACTGTTGCTGGTATTTTGGCCCATTCCTCCATGCAGATCTCCTCTAGAGCAGTGATGTTTTGGGGCTGTCGCTGGGCAACACAGACTTTCAACTCCCTCCAAAGATTTTCTATGGGGTTGAGATCTGGAGACTGGCTAGGCCACTCCAGGACCTTGAAATGCTTCTTACGAAGCCACTCCTTCGTTGCCCGGGCGGTGTGTTTGGGATCATTGTCATGCTGAAAGACCCAGCCACGTTTTCACTCAAAATCTCACGATACATGGCCCCATTCATTCTTTCCTTTACACGGATCAGTCGTCCTGGTCCCTTTGCAGAAAAACAGCATGTTTCCACCCCCATGCTTCACAGTAGGTATGGTGTTCTTTGGATGCAACTCAGCATTCTTTGTCCTCCAAACACGACGAGTTGAGTTTTTACCAAAAAGTTCTATTTTGGTTTCATCTGACCATATGACATTCTCCCAATCCTCTTCTGGATCATCCAAATGCACTCTAGCAAACTTCAGACGGGCCTGGACATGTACTGGCTTAAGCAGGGGGACACGTCTGGCACTGCAGGATTTGAGTCCCTGGCGGCGTAGTGTGTTACTGATGGTAGGCTTTGTTACTTTGGTCCCAGCTCTCTGCAGGTCATTCACTAGGTCCCCCCGTGTGGTTCTGGGATTTTTGCTCACCGTTCTTGTGATCATTTTGACCCCACGGGGTGAGATCTTGCGTGGAGCCCCAGATCGAGGGAGATTATCAGTGGTCTTGTATGTCTTCCATTTCCTAATAATTGCTCCCACAGTTGATTTCTTCAAACCAAGCTGCTTACCTATTGCAGATTCAGTCTTCCCAGCCTGGTACAGGTCTACAATTTTGTTTCTGGTGTCCTTTGACAGCTCTTTGGTCTTGGCCATAGTGGAGTTTGGAGTGTGACTGTTTGAGGTTGTGGACAGGTGTCTTTTATACTGATAACAAGTTCAAACAGGTGCCATTAATACAGGTAACGAGTGGAGGACAGAGGAGCCTCTTAAAGAAGAAGTTACAAGGTCTGTGAGAGCCAGAAATCTTGCTTGTTTGTAGGTGACCAAATACTTATTTTCCACCATCATTTGCAAATAAATTCATAAAAAATCCTACAATGTGATTTTCTGGATTTTTTTTTTCTCAATTTGTCTGTCATAGTTGACGTGTACCTATGATGAAAATTACAGGCCTCTCTCATCTTTTTAAGTGGGAGAACTTGCACAATTGGTGGCTGACTAAATACTTTTTCCCCCCACTGTATTATTGTTATAAAAACAAGGCAGTTTGTGGCCGCTATAGTAATTTAAAGAAAGGCTGTTGATGGGCCTCTATGGCTTCTAATGGGTTATTAATAAAGTTGTATACAAGCACACTATTCCAGACCAGTCTACACGTTCTAATGTTTGAATGGCGTTTCTGGCTTAAACAGTGCAAGAGGATTAGCGTTGTAAAGAAAAATAACTACACTGAACAAAAATATAAAACGCAACATGTAAAGTGTTAGTCCCATGTTTCATGAGCTGAAATAAAAGATCCCAGAATTGTTAAATACGCACAAAAAGCTTAATTCTCTCAAGTTTTGTGCACAAATTTATCCTTTGCCAAGATAATCCATCCACATGACAGGTGTGGCATATCAAGAAGCTGATTAAACAGCATGATCATTAGACAGGTGCACCTTGTGCTAGGGACAATAAAAGGCCACTCTAAAATGTGTAGTTTTGTCACACAACACAATGCCACAGATGTCTCAAGTTTTGAGGGAGCGTGCAATTGGCATGCTTACTGCAGGAATGTCCACAAGAGCTGTTGCCAGATAATTGAATGTTAATGTCTCTACCGTAAGCCGCCTCCAACTTTGTTTTAGAGAATTTGACAGTACGTCCAACCGGCCTCACAACCGCAGACCACGTGTAACCACGTCAGCCCAGGACCTCCAGATCTGGCTTCTTCACCTGTGGGATCGTCTGAGACCAGGCACCCAGACAGCTGATGAAACTGAGGAGTATTTATGTCTGTAATAAAGCCCTTTTGTGGAGAAAAACTCATTCTGATTGGCTGGGCCTGGCTCCCAAGTGGTTGGGCCTGGCTCCCAAGTGGATGGGCCTATGCCCAGTCATGTGAAATCCATAGATTAGGGCCTAATGAATTTATTTCAATTGACTGATTTCCTTATATGAACTTTAACTCTGTAAAATCGTTGAAATTGTTGCATTTATATTTTTGTTCAGTATAATACGGCAGCCAATCAAGTACTTAGCTGTGTTCTCAAGTCCAGGCAGGCAGGACCTCTATGCTCCAGTCAAACACGTACACAGACAAAATATTTTCACACGCAGGGCTAAGACCTAGAGATGCCTGCCAGGCTGTCACCTTTGACCTGGAAATACACCCATATGTGTGTTAGGTGTGTGTGCGTGTGAAGCGTGTCTGAGCATGTCTACATTATGTGTGTATTACTGCCAGAAAAGGAGATCATGAGCACAGAGAAAGAGAGAGGGGAAGAAAGCGTGTAAAGCATACAGTGCACCAAGCAATAATCAGATAGAGAAATCAAATGTCAGTTCCTCCCAAAAATGTAGAGAAGCAAAGTACAGCTGAGTGGAGAGAACATATCTTCCAGACAGACAAGGGCAGGAACTTCCTCTGATTTGGTTTGTTTCTCTACAGTTTATCAATTGGGTCAAATGGGGAGCAGAGATATCTTTCTTATCTCTCCAGTAGCTAGTGTGGTGCTCCGAGAGGAGAGGGAAACACACACACACAGAGACACACACACAGAGACAGAGAGAGAGAGACTCTCTCTCCATTAATGAGGCCCTGGATGTTAGTCGGTTTGACCCAGAGGAGATGTGAGGCTGTTCCAGAGAACACAATCTACATTTTAATCCCAGTCCCATAGGCCACTTGCTGTCTCCTTTGCGCATACACACATACAGGAAAACCATGATGTACATGGAAACACACAAGTCTACACACAAAGGTTGTGGCCAACAGCTTAGCTTACATCATTTATGTGAGGCCCAATAAAGCTTGGTTGAGAAACACTACAGTAAGGACCACACTAGCCTAGTTTTGAACACTAAAAACACCCTCTCTGTGTTTGAGGGAGTACTAGAATTAATTAATCCATTTTTCATTCAAAACAGCCCGAGTGTGATGCACCCAGCTAACTGGGAGGTCAATCATAGCGGATCTCATTTCCATAGAGCCACTCTGGGAACCGTGACAATAAGCACTGGAGAGCTGCCCAAGATTGCCATCACACACACACATCAGGGTGTGTAATGTATGCAGTGATGAAAACACACACACTTAAAAGACAATACTGGAAATGTCACACTGACAAACACCCCATAACGGACAGGGCAGAGAGATGGAAACCTTTGCATCACCATTCAAAGTGTGTTGCCATGTTCAGATTCACAGTAGCGTAGCCTATATGGTGCTAAAGTATAAACATAGTAATGTAATTCTGGGGGAAATGGGATTCCTCCATATACGTTGAGAAGATGGGAGGATGGATGGAAAAGAGAGCTATAAAAGGTTAAAGGATAGAGCAAAGCCAGTGGTTAGATGCCAGTATCACAAAGAGATACAGGCCAAACAACTACCAATAAATGAAAAAAAAGGTGAGAGGAGAGAGGGATTTAGAGTAAAAGAGAGGAGAGAGGGATGTAGTCGTCCCATCCCGGAGGACCTGAGCCCTAGGACCATGCCTCAGGACTACCTGGCCTGATGACTCCTTGCTGTCCCCAGTCCACCTGGTCGTGCTGCTGCTCCAGTTTCCACTCTTCTGCCTGCGGCTATGGAACCCTGACCTGTTCACCGGATGTGCTACCTTGTCCCAGACCTGCTGTTTTCAACTCTCTCTCTCTCTACCACAACCTCTAAATGCCCGGCTATGAAAAGCCAAGTGACGTTTACTCCTGATGTACTGACCTGTTGCAACCTCTACAACCACTGTGATTATTATTTGACCCTGCTGGTCATCTATGAACGTTTGAACATCTTGGAGAAAAATCTGGCCTTAATGGCCATGTACTGTTATAATCTCCACCCGGCACAGCCAGAAGGGGACTGGCCACCCCTCAGAGCCTGGTTCCTCTCTAGGTTTCTTCCTTTCTAGGGAGTTTTTCCTAGCCACCGTGCTGGGTTTCTGTATAGCACTTTGTGACATCTGCTGATGTAAAAAGGGCTTTATAAATCTTAAATAAATGTAATTGATTAATTGATTGAGGAGAGAGGTATGTAGAGTCAAAGGGAGAAAGCGTAAGAGTTGCTGTGTAAATACATCAACTCCAATGGAAAAGTTGGGATTCCAGACAGTAGGCCTTAGCTATAACAAAAAGACAGGCCAAACCATCCAATAAATCGTAAAACACAGATCCCTCCAACAGAGAGCGTTTCACCAATTCAATTACCATTGAGCACTTTCTCTCTGCTTTAAACCCAGAGTCTTTTAAAAATGTCAACGATTAGCCCATGAAAGGCATTATCAGCCATCTAAAGAGAATGTGCTTTCAGACTCAGAGAGACGGATTAACACACACAAGTCGTTTTTGTGTCGGTGATAGGTGGGTTCTGCTGTGTGTGTGTTGCTCCCTGCCGACTTCTGTGTTTATGAATTCTCATCAAGCCCAAAGATTAGCCTATATTTTAAAATAGGCCTCGCTCATTCTTGAAATAAACCAAAGAGGGAGAATTTGTTCCCATTTTATCCGATTGGGTGTAATGTCTAGGATTGCCCTTTTGAAGCTGAAGAGGATCAAAGGCTATCTATCTAACAACACTGGTCAGCATAACCAAGGTTATTGAAAGATGTGTGTGTGTGTGTGTGTGTGTGTGTGTGTAATCCATTGAGTGCTGTAGTGCAGAGTTAAACAGAGCGATGGATCGTGTTCAGGGACCAATCTATGACGTCAGATTGGGCAATCAGAAAGCTGAACACATTTTGTTATGACTAAGATATGTCCCTTTGGCTTTTCACACGAGGTAAATGTCAAATTGCTTTCCATGTAATGTACATTAAAAGTGATTCACTAAATGGAGGGAGAGAGAGAACAGAGAGAAAGCCCAGAGAGCGAGACCAGAGAGGGAGAGAGTAATGTATATCTTGCCTGTAGCAGTTCAATCATACGACAGCACTCGCTTGGTTAATTATCAGTCTTTAGTTAATGAGTTGTAACCTTCCTGCTGCCCATACAACCATACACCAGAGATGGGGGGGGGGGGGTCGTATGGATAGGGTCGCGACACACACACAGAGCAGGGCTGACTTACGCCTCGTTATTTGTTTTTGTGTCTCTGAGTCGGCTGAATGTGAAATGGAGATCCCTCCTTTTTTCTCTCCCCTCTCCTCCTCTCTGGCCTTCTTTGTGTTTGAATTAAAATGACTTTAAAGCCGTATAAAACATAGGCTTGTTTAATGAGCTCTGTGGGGAAGGCGAAGGAGAGGTCACCCGTAGTCGGAGTTCAGAGGCACATATGAAAAAAATTGAATGTGCAAATCTAAAGCTATCTCCCAAATGGCAACCTATTCCTAATCTAGTGCACTACTTTTGATCAGGGCCAAAAGGCCACTAAACTGGGAGTAGGGAGCCATTTGGGACACAATGTGGGGGCTAAAGATGGGGAGGGAACCTGTGGTGATAAAATAATTCTGTCATTAGTTTGAGTTTCTTCCTTTATTATTTCCTCTCCATTTCTTTTTGAAGGGCAGGAAAATGATTGAACATGGATACTCAGTGAAGGAAGCACTACTGGAGGGCAATTCCACACTGACGGAATTACGCTGAGACTTTAAAATGTATGCCAAACAAAATCGATTGATTTCAAAGTTTAACAAAACGTTACAACTCTATGCACAAGGACTACTTTTTGTAATTTACACAGAAAATTAGTCAAAAACACATTTACTTGAAGAACAGTGCAAATGCAAAGTTTGGTAATGACTGATTACGGCACCAACAGCACAAACCGTCATTCTGTTACGAAACTTTACATCTGCACTGTTAAAGTAAATGTGTTTTTGTCAAATGTTCTTTTATTTAAAAAAAAAACATTTTAAAGTGAAGAATCTGAGTCTCAGCGTAATTCCGTTACTGTGGAATTGCCATAGAGCTAAACAGTAGTTGTTTACTGGGTTCAGCAAAGAACCAGTGACCTAAAAATGTGCTCTTGAATAGTCACAACTTCTATCACCGTCATCATTATCAGCACTATTCTGACTATGACCACACTTGTTCTATTTGGTCTGCCAAGGGGGGACTTCAAAACATTTACATTTACTAAACCCATCAGTCTACGCCCTGTCTAAGCCGGGTGGGGGGGTTCTACTAAGCTATATGGAATTGTTTTAAGAAGGTCATACCAAGGATCATTTAGCTATTTGATTTAGAATTTTAAGACCCCTTGAAGTATAAAAAATATATATATTTGATGAAAAAAATGTTTTGGCCTTACTGCGATTAGCCCATACAAATGCATTGAATAACAGATTCACTACATGGAACAACAGATAGTCCCCAAAAAATATTAAAAGGACGTTTGTTCTGAAGTGTCTCTCCTATGTCTGAGAGACATAAGAAAGATAAGATATATCTTTTTTTTTATTTTTTACATGTATTTAACCCAATATTTTTGGTACTAAACAGTCTCCCTATATACTTCCATGAATTATTTTCAACTGGTACTGGGGGACCTTCAGTCGAGTCTTGTGAGGCCTGTCCTGTTCATGAGAGTCTCATCTTTCCATGGAGGGGTCAGAAGAGGCCAAACTGTTCGGACGCTACAGACGATTTTGTGAGAAGACCGATTTGTGATGCATCATGGTCTGACAAACACCGCTATGATTGAGACGCATCCAAGGCAAAAAAACAGATACAGTGCATTCAGAAAGTATTCAGACCCCTTGACTTTTTCCACATTATGTTACGTTACATCCTTATCCAACAAATCTACACACAAAAACAGGCTTTTAGACATTTTTGCAAATTTATAAAAAAATTAAAACTGAAATATCACATTTACCTAAGTATTCAGACCCTTTACTCAGTACTTTGTTGAAGCAACTTTGGCAGCGATTACAGCCTCGACTCTCCTTGGTTATGACGCTACAAGCTTGGCACACCTGTATTTGGGGGGTTTCTCCCATTCTTCTCCGCAGATCCTCTCAAGCTCGGTCAGGTTGGATGGGGAGCGTCGCTGCACAGCTATTTTCAGGTCTCTCCAGAGATGTTCGATCGGGTTCAAGTCCGGGCTCTGGCTGGGCCATTCAAGGACATTCAGAGACTTGTCCCGAAGCCACTCCTGCGTTGTCTTGCTTTGGGCCGTTGTCCTGTTGGTGAACCTTCACCCCAGTCTGAGGTCCTGAGCGCTCTGGAGCAGGTTTTCAACAAGGATCTCTCTGTACGTTCATCTTTCCCTCGATCCTGACTAGTCTCCCAGTCCCTGCTGCTGAAAAACATCCCCACAGCATGATGCTGCCACCACCATGTTTCACCGTAGGGATGGTGCCAGGTTTCCTCCAGACGTGACGCTTGGCATTCAGGCCAAAGTGTTCAATCTTGGTTTCATCCGACCAGAGAATCTTGTTTCTCATGGTCTGAGAGTCTTTTAGGTGCCTTTTGGCAAACTCCAAGTGGACTGTCATGAGCCTTTTACGGAGGGGGTTTAAGCTACACCTCTACAATACTAAGATATATTATCTAACTGTAAATAAGATCAATTACTTGTGGTATACAGACATGTCGTTAGACCAAGTATAAACCAGCCTTTGGTCATTATTCTACATTCCTGCATTCCCACGACCCATTTGTCCTGTGGGAATACTAGAGCCATTTGTTTCCACAGGCATGCTATAGGCTAGCCCAACACCGTTTACTGAGGAGCTACCGGGTAAATAAGTGGCTTTTCCTTCCTTGGATCTGTCAGACTGTGGCTCTGTTTCACTGTGTGGTGCAATGCATCTCCTCCTCTCCTCTCTCTTCTCTTCTCCCTCTCTGTCAGCACTGAATTCCCACTGGGGAGCCTCCTGCTTCTCAAACTAGGCTAGAGAAAACTTTTAAAAAGACCCAACTAGAAAAGAAAGTCAAAAACACGCACCTCACATGCACACAGATACCGACATGCAGACATGTAGGCTGCGTTTACACAGGCAGCCTAATTCTGATCTTTTCACTAATTGGAATTTAGCCCAATCAGATCAGCTCAGAAAAAGATGTGATTGGTAAAGAAATATTTAAGTGGAAAAATTTTAATTAATAAAAAAAATAGGGGAGAGGTAGGGAAAGGGGGGGGGGGGGGGGGGGGGGTGCACCGTGAGGGCAGGGGAAGTCATTAAATTGGAGTAGAGGGTTAACTGTTTGTGAGTGAGAGCGCAAAATGGTCAAGAGAGAGCTATCTCACAGATGAGGGAGGACGGGAAACCATGAGGCTTGTTTTTTTTTTTCAACAGTAATTAAAAAGTACTAATGACAAACATTGTATTAACGTTCCTTACACATGCTTCTCGATCACCCGGTTTAGGATGATAATAGGCACAGATTACTGTTTTTCTGGGGGTTCTCAATGATGTCCAAATTGAGAGAGCGAGTGAAGAGAGAAAGAGGGAGAAGAGAAGAGAGAGAGAGTGAAAGAGAGAGAGGAAAAGAGGACGCTAGGCTATCTAGTGCAGAGGCTGAGAGGCAGAGCGATACAGGAGGGTTGGCTGTAAACTAATCCAATATTTGACTGGATTAGAAGAAGGGGCTGTTATGCTATTTTAGGGCAAACAATACTCACTGCCAATCGTGGCTCCTATTCACAGCTATTGTTACAGGGGGATGGACATGGAAGTGGACTTAGTGCCAGTTAGCTTGTGTTTATTAGTCTCCCGAGTGGCGCAGTGGTCTAAGGCACTGCATTGCAGTGCTAGCTGTGCCACTAGAGATCCTGGTTCGAATCCAGGCTCTGTCGTAGCCGGCCGCGACCGGGAGACCCATGGGGCGGCGCGCAATTGGCCCAGCGTCGTCCAGGGTAGGGGAGGGAATGGCCGGCAGGGATGTAGCTCAGTAGATAGAGCATGGCGTTTGCAACGCCTGGGTTGTGGGTTCAGGGGGTATGAAAAATAAAATAAAAAAATATGTATGCACTAACTGTAAGTCGCTCTGGATAAGAGCGTCTGCTAAATGACTAAAATGTCAAATGTATTGTGCTTCCCTATCAAGCTGCACATGATCCACAAACAGGCACGATGGGGGGAATAAGCAAAACAGAGAGATGGAGCAATAAAACAGAAGGAAGTGAAATAGAGGAGAAGGAGGACATGCGGCTCAAGAGATAGAAAACGCAGGGAGGGATCCCGGCCAAAGGGGCTTTGGTTTCAGTTGCATTGGGACAGGCAGGGAGAGAGGAGAGGAACAGAGAGGGAGAGGGAAGAGTGCCACCTATCGGACAAAGAACCTCACTTCACCTGGCTGATAAGCATATTAGCACCTTGATCTATGACACAGAAAATAAACACAGCTGAGCCACCACCCTTTTTTCCATCTGTACTTATCTACATCCGCATTACTCACAGCACGCTTTCATCAAGCACACAATAGGCCTCAGTCAAACATACGTGAGTCTTACATACTGTATATGGCATTAATGGACCCGGTATAAGCAATGTTTTACACTATCAGGTTCTGTGTCCACCTACATTCAGCTTGCCCGTTACTATGAGCCGTATGCAGCATGTTGAAGGTGAAGTCATTAGCTGTTATAATATTAATAATGCTGTATAATAATGATGTTATATTTAAGCAATAAGGCCCGGGGGGGGGTGGTATATGGCCAGTATACCACGGCTAAGGGCTGTTCTTACGCAAGACGCAACGCGGAGTGCCTGGATACAGCCCTTAGCCGTGGTATATTGGCCGATTATTAACTGGTTACCAACGTCATTAGAAGAGTCAAAAGTAATGTTTTGTCATACCCATGGTATACGGTTTGATATACCACTGCTTTCAGCCAATCAGCATTCAGGGCTTGAACCACCCAGTTTATAATGCTGTCTATATCAGTAGTGAATCAAACATATCATATTAACCCAAATGTAATAGCATATATAATATCCTGCCTGTGGGCAAGTCTTACCCAGCATGTTGAAGATGAAGTCTTTGGCCGTGTGGACCTCCAAGGCCAGATGGTCCCCAAAGTCCCCCTGCTCCAGTGTGACCAGCTCAGACACCTGGGCCGACAGCTGCTCCAGTGTGGCCCCTGACCGGAAGTCCACCTCAGAGGCCTTCTTCACCGGGGCCGGGGACCGGGGGGCCACCGCACTCATCAGGGTCTCCATGGTGAGTCACACCCTATGGATGTGAGGGAGGGAGGGGCAGACATGTGTCAGGAATGTTTATCATGGAGGGGAGAGGACAGTTGTTTGCATATTGTGTGTGATAGGCAAACAAAGTGAATTGTAAACTTTGTTATTGCACTCCCAGTCCTAGCACTGACTACTAGCTAACTGGAATTCTGAGGGCATGATACCAGGAACTTGGAGGGTTGTGAATCATTGTTATGATTATGAATCACACACATTGATTATTAGCTAATCATAACTATTTTACCTAGCTAGCTAACTAATGTTAGACTAAGTGTGTTATTGTTTTGATCTGTTAATCCACAGTAAACGCAGACCTCAAATGAACATCAAAATTCACATTAATCTGAAAGCCACCTTGTGTTTTGAAAAGTACACTACTTATAGTCAAGCAGTGACAGCATGTCCTCAAAACTAGGTCAATTAGCTAGCTAGCTAGTTAGCATGCTAATTAGCTGGAAAAGTTATGAGTCTAACGTTAGCCATTTACTTAGCTAGCTAGCTAGAAAGCAAGTTAACTGCAAATCTTGATACAACAGCAACATATACATAACAGTTTAGACTTCCCAACTAGTTCCGATTATTCGGAGAGGACACCAGAGTCGATTTTCGATAATAAGTTAGCTAGCTAGCCGGCTGGCGTGTTACCCGCACAGGTGGGGATAAGTGCACCAACACAGCTGAGCTAGCAAGCGAGACAGTGACTCTTTCACACACCGCAGCGTTGTATTATTTCAATGCATAAATATACATTTGAACAAGCACACACACCCTTAGCCACAGGTCTGGTGAAGTTTCTTTGTTATCTTCCAGGCTTACTGTTTTGGTCTTTATATTGAAATCCGATTTCTTCCACCGTCATTTCCAACAAGTCCTCAGCGCCACATTCCCCCGGAAATCACCGCCCTCATGAGAATCTTGGGATTAGTAGTGTGTGTAATGTAGCTCCCCAAAACTACAAAGCTGATTTGTAGGCTATGATTAAAGGTGTGTCCCTCTGTAGCCTACTGCAGAGTTTCCCAATGCTCGGTCCTGCCACCACACCCCTCCCCCGGGTGCACGTTCTGGTCAGAGATTGGATAGGGTGCTATGATTATCAAATATTTTGGAGTCTAATGCAATTAAAAATAAATCTAATGCAATTAAAAATAAAGATTATTGTTTCCCAATAAAACATTGTGGCTATCATGATTATGAAGCATTCGCTTGCAATTAATAGGACTATAATAATTTACATGATATGCTAAATAAAGCTTCCACACAGCTGACGTGAGGTGACACCTCTACTCATCTGCAGAACAAGGGGGCGAGATGGAGCCTGAACCAGCCCTCTGCTTTTAAAAGACAGGCTCCCCTTGCAGAACGAGATGCTCTGCCTCTGACAGCTTCTAAACTCTTTCCTCTCCTCCTTGCCCTTTTTCTTCAGAAGGGGAGAGATTCGCAGTGATCAAAAGATCTTCAAACCATTGCCAGTTTCCCCTCCATCACCCCATCTTTGCTGGTGTCACCTTGAAACACCTCCCCCTTTGAAGCCATATCAGAGAGGCTGACAGTGCAGATAATTGGCCCAGTAGAGGTAATGGCAGAGAGACCCGAGATGAGAGAGAGGACCTTCAACAGATTCCAGGAACTGGTATCTGTTGAACCACTTCTCAAATTCTACTATCCATCAGCAAATGTATCAAAGACAAAGTGAGGGAAGTGGTGGAGAGAGACAGACAGACAGAGAGAGAGAGATGCAAGGCAGAGAGGGGCGAGGGGGCAGCACTTATAGCTACAGTTTATGTCTATGACACATACGATTTCTGTGTGAATGCTGTCTATTTATTTGTCAACATTACTCTGCAGCCTCAGTCATTCACTCAAAGGTAGCAATCAGTGGGTGGTTACTGGGTGAATTTCTATATGCATTTTCATACATCCTCCTCTTAGCCTCATGCATTTTGGGACTTAGCCAGTGTTTATTGCGGAGGCGCAGTGTCCATTGAAGTGAGGGGATGATGATCTACCTGAAAGTGTGTTAGTGCTGACCATCATTTAAGGGTCTGTAAAGGTCAGGAGGGAGCAGCGGTGAGAGCTTTGAACAGCCATTACATTTTATTCCACTTTAATGTGTGGGCTGCTGTGGACTGGTGATTGATGCTTCAGAGAGAGGATTTGTTGCTGCTGTGCTCTCTCAATAGTATAGTGTGTGTATGTGTGTGTGTGTGTTCCATGTATTAGAGAGAGAGGCTTTGGGTAATCGTGTTGGGTGGTATAGGCTTAGTTTCATTTCACACTTTTATTCAGAGGAAAATATCCTGAGAAGCACATCCTCCCACCTAGTCAGTCAGTCTCTCTCTCCTCTCAGTCCCACCAGCATCCAGACAGACTGTATTTGTGTGAGTGATAGTCTTACACCAGCCAAGCTTCACGCTCATTCTGACCACAACCAAGAAATCAATTGGCCGTAGAGATCTCCCTAAACAAGCTTGGCCTGCATACCAAATGGCACCCTATTCCCTTCATAGTGCCCTACTTTTGACCAGAGCACTACAGGCCATGGTCAAAAGTAGTGCACAATGCAGGGAATAGGGTGCCATTTGGGACACAGCCCAGTTCTGAGGTAATTACCTAACCCAGTCTGGTGGTGAGAGAGAAACAAAGAAAAATATCCTTTAAACTAATTAATACATTCTACAGTGTAAAAAAATTAATACAAGTAGAGGCTTGTGAAGCAAAACTCCCTTGAGATACAATTAACAATATCTACCGTATCTGCTGCTTCCATCTCCCTTCTTTCCCACCCACCCACTAAACCAGAGAGTGGTCCAGTTAGAGCTACAGCTGCAGTGCTATCCCCTTAGCCAGAAGGCTAATGCATTGCAACCTGCTTACAGTCTCTGCCCATCCTCACACAACTTTAGGATAATAAAAGCTTATCCTTGGTGTACATGTGAAATTGTTCGATATTACTTGTTATATATTACTGCACTGTCGGAGCTAGAAGCACAAGCATTTCGCTACACCCGCAATAACATCTGCTAAAGACGTGTTTTTGACAAATACAATTTGATTTGATAAAAGCAGAGTGAGGACACACAAAAAGAACGGCAGACCACCTCGATGCTGAGGCACTAAACTCACAGGGTGAATCACCATTGGCCAGTGATTTCTTTGGCCTGCAAAAACAAAGATGGGGATAGCGAACAGAGAGACCAAAAGAGAAAGTGTGAAGCACAGGCCCTGAGAGAGACTGAGCCCAAGCAAGAGCGAGGGACACAGCCTGAGAGAGGGAGAAAAAGAGAGACCAAAAACACTCTGTTTTAACACAGCGTAGAGCAGAACTTTGTGATCGGGTTTATCGATTCTAAGGAGGGGATGCTGTGCTGCTTTCAGTAATGAGTGACTGTTTGGGAGTGTGTGTGGGTGTGTAGTCCCAACGCTGCACGCCCAAAATGTCAGCAACCAGGAGGGGGAGGGGGAAACAGACAAGTTTGGGGTTGAAAAAACAGGCACAATGTGATATGTGGCTGAGTGAGTGTGAATGGATTCTGAACATATTATGATGCTGAAGAGTTCTCTCCTCTGTCTGTGGCACCATCTCACATATTCAACTTAAATGTGCAGACGGATGCCTCCAGCAGCCCTCCCACACAAAAACAGTCCATACATTTTCCTCCTTCCTCTCCTTGTTGTCTCAGGAGCCCAAATTAACTAATTTGTCTATTAAAAGTGTTTCCATTCCAGAGATAACAATCACAATCTGATAGCCTGACCCCGTCTTCCCCAATGCCCACTAATAGGCCTTCTAATGAGCGTTTCATGAGTCGTGATCAGAGTTCATTGGGATGTGCTTTAGTCAATAGGATTTCTGCTTCGGCTTTCAATGGACTCAGAGTCAGTCGGCTGGCATATGAGCGTCGTGCCACCCCTGCAAATTGACCTGGAGATTTATAAAGCAATTTTCAAAGGTCCCTGCGCAGACGGCCTTCACACACATGCACACACAGCCTACAGTCAGGAAACGGGAGGATGGAATGAAGGAAGGAATTAGCGCTTCAATGAATTTCAATTTCAATTTGAATACAGATAGGTTTGAAAGAACGTAGCCCTGGCTAAAGTGAGGCCAGTGGTTAATGAACTCCTCCGTGTTCTCTGTACACCGGTACTTAATGCATCAAATGGTGAGGGGCCATAGAGACATTCACCATTGACTTCCTGAGAGAGAGAGGTGTTTCACTACCAGAAGGCTTCCTCAGAAGGAACAAATAAGGGGTACAGAGAGGTGATCATAAACTTTTTTCAAGAATTTATTTGTGATGAAGGATTAATATACCTTAGTCTTTCGGATGCATTCAAAGTGAAACGTGCGCTCGTGCGTAAACACACACACACAAACACAGAGATATGTAAGTCACGGGGTACGTTGCAGCCTATGATTACAGAAAAAGAAACAACCTTATCTTCTCTTTCCACCCATGACAGAACAACAGCAGGGTTTAGATAAGTGACATTTTACCAACGCCCCTTCTTCCTCCATATCCACCCGTCCCTCCATCCACCACTCATGACATCTCCACTTCTCTGGTCTCTGAACATAACAGTCAGTTTGTGTCCTGTAGCGAGAGGTCATTCAGCACCAGTAGGGGCCATGTAGGGGTCAAAGGTTAAAGGGCCAGAGGTTAAAGGTCAGAGTTCAGATGGCTATGGCCAGCCAGCCAGCGATCAGGAACATGCCTCCGTAAGGAGCCAGTTTCCTCAGGACAGGGTTCTCCGTCAGGGCCTGATGGTACAGGGAGCCACAGAACGCCCCCGTGCCCAATACCAGGAGGGCGCCCGCCTGCAGAGAGAAGAGGGGAAGGTGACTGTGTGCTTCTCTGTTTACCATTTAAGATGTACACACAGCCTTCTCAGAATGTGGCATACAGTATCTGAAAAGACATGTACTTGGACATCAAATCACTAATGCACACAAAACAGAGAATACATGCAGGCGGAGGATTATAATAAACCATAGCGATACATATTTACAGTGCCTTCAGAAAGTATTCACCCCCCTTGACTGTTTCCACATTTTGTCGTTATAAAATTTAGATTGTAAGCCAGTGACACACACACAATACCCCATAATGTCAAAGTGGAATTATGTTTTTAGAAATTTTTTGAAATTAATTAAAAATGAAAAGCTGAAATGAATTCAACCCCTTTGTTATGGCAAGCCTAAATAAGTTCAGTTGCATGGACTCACTCTGTCTGCAATAATAGTGTTTAACATGATTTTTGAATGACTACCTCATCTCTGTACCTACACATACAATTATCTGTCCCTCAGTCGAGCAGTGAATTTCAAACACAGATTCAACCAAAGACCAGGGAGGTTTTCCAATGCCTAGCAAAGAAGGGCACCTATTGATAGATGGGTAAAAATAACTTTGGATGGTGTATCAATACACCCAGTCACTACAAAGATACAGATGTCCTTCCTAACTCAGTTGCCAGAGAGGAAGGAAACCACTCATTTCACCATGACTTTAAAACAGTTACAGAGTTTAATGGCTGTGAAAGGAAAAAACTGCGGATGGATCAACAACATTGTAGTTAATCCACAATACTAACCTAAATGACAGAGTGAAAAGAAGGAAGCCTTTACAGAGTACAGAATAAAAAATATTCCAAAAAATGTATCCTGTTTGCAATAAGGAACTAAAGTAAAACTGCAAAAAATGTGGCAAAGAAATTCACTTTATATCCTGAATACAAAGCGTTATGTTTGGGGCAAATCCAACACAACGCTTCACTTAATATTTTCAAGGTGGTGGCTGCATCATGTTATGGGTATCCTTGTCATCGGCAAGAACTACACAGTTTTTTAGGATAAAAATAAATGGATGGAATAAATGGAATATAAGCACAGGCAAAATCCTAGAGTAAAACCTGGTTCAGCCTGCTTTCCTCACAGACACTGCGAGACAAATTCACCTTTCAGCAGGACAATAACCTAAAACACAAGGCCAAATATACACTGGAGTTACTTACCAAGATGACATTGAATGTTCCTGAGTGGCCTAGTTACAGTTTTGACTTAAATCGGCTTGAAAATCTATGGCAAAACTTGAAAATGGCTGTCTAACAATTATCAATAACCAACTTGACAGAGCTTGAAGATTTATTTTAAAGAATAATGTGCAAATATTATACAATCCAGGTGTGCAAAGCTCTTAGACTTACCCATAAAGACTCGCTGCCAAAGGTGATTCTAACATGTCTGAATACTTATGTAAATATTTATGTATTTAATTTCTACAAACATGTTTTCACTTTGTCATTATTGGGTATTGTGTGTAGATGGGTTAATCCATTTTGATTTCAGGCTGTAACAACAAAATGTGGAATAAGTCAGGAGGTAAGAATACTTTCTGAAGGCACTGTATGTTCTATTACAACACTATAGTGTTCTATAGATAATTCTGTTAATATAATGATGGGAGCGAGGCATACAGAACATACCACAGCAGGTTTCCTACAGCGAGAGGCCCCCAGCAGAGCTATGCTGTGGTAGAAGTGGTACTTGTTGGCCGTCTCATACAGCTGTGGAGAGGGCGATACACTAGATACATTAGAGACCAGAACTGTCTGACAGGTAAGTTGACAGGGTGGTATAACATTGCAAGATATTAATAAAGGTTATTTTTAAGCAATAAGGCCCGAGGAGGTGTGGTATATTGGCCATATAGCACAAACCCCTGAGGTGCCTTATTGCTTTTATAAACTTGTTACTAACATACATAGAACAGTTAACAAGTATTTTTGCATCATACCCGCGGTATATTTTCTGATATACACACAGCTGGAATGCTGTATTAGCGAATCAGCATCCAGGACCCAAACTACCCTGTTTATAAATGTGTATATACAGTTGAAGTCGGAAGTTTACATACACTTAGGTTGGAGTCATTAAAACTTGTTTTTCAACCACTCCACAAATTTCTTGTTAACAAACTATAGTTTTGGCAAGTCGGTTAGGACATCTACTTTGTGCATGACAAGTAATTTTTCCAACAATTGTTTACAGACAGATTATTTCACTTATAATTCACTGTATTCCAGTGGGTCAGAAGTTTACATACACTAAGTTGACGGTGTCTTTAAACAGCTTGGAAAATTTCAGAAAATTATGTCATGGCTTTAGAAGCTTCTGATAGGCTAATTGACATCATTTGAGTCAATTGGAGGTGTACCTGTGGATGTATTTCAAGGCCTAGCTTCAAACTCAGTGCCTCTTTGCTCAAAATAAATCAGCCAAGACTTCAGATAACACATTGTAGACCTCCACAAGTCTGGTTCATCCTTGGGAGCAATTTCCAAACGCCTGAAGGTACCACGTTCATCTGTACAAACAATAGTACGCAAGTATAAACACCATGGGACCACGCAGCCATCATACCGCTCAGGAAAGAGACGCATTCTGTCTCCTAGAGATGAACGTACTTTGGTGCGAAAAGCGCATATCAATCCCAGAACAACAGCAAAGGACCTTGTGAAGATGCTGGAGGAAATAGGTACAAAAGTATCTATATCCACAGTAAAACAAGTCATATATCAACATAACCTGAAAGGCCGCTCCGCAAGGAAGAAGCCACTGCTCCAAAACCGCCATAAAAAAATCAGACTACGGTTTGCAACTGCACATGGGGACAAAGATCATACTTTTGGGAGAAATGTCCTCTGGTCTGATGAAACAAAAATAGAACTGTTTGGCTATAATGACCATTGTTATGTTTGGAGGAAAAAGGGGGTTGCTTGCAAGCCAATGAACACCATCCCAACCGTGAAGCACAGGGGTGGCAGCATCATGCTGTGGGGGTGTTTTGCTGCAGGAGGGACTGGTGCACTTCACAAAATAGATGGCATCATGAGGAAGAAAAATTATGTGGATATATTTAAGCAACATCTCAAGACATCAGTCAGGAAGTTAAAGCTTGGTCACAAATGGGTCTTCCAAATGGACAATGACCCCAAGCATACTTCCAAAGTTGTGGCAAAATGGCTTAAGGACAACAAAGTCAAGGTATTGGAGTTGCCATCACAAAGCCCTGACCTCAATCCTATAGAAAATGTGTGGGCAGAACTGAAAAAGTGTGTGCGAGCAAGGAGGCCTACAAACCAGACTCAGTTACAGAAGCTCTGTCAGGAGGAATGGGCCAAAATTCACCCAACTTATTGTGGGAAGCTTGTGGAAAGCTACCCAAAACGTTTGACCCAAGTTAAACAATTTAAAGGCAATGCTACCAAATACTAATTGACTGTATGTAAACTTCTGACCCATTGGGAATGTGATGAAAGAAATAAAAGCTGAAAGAAATAATTCTCTCTACTATTATTGTGACATTTCACATTCTTAAAATAAAGTGGTGATCCTAACTGACCTAAGACAGGGAATTTTTACTAGGATTAAATGTCAGGAATTGTGAAAAACTGAGTTTAAATGTATTTGGCCAAGGTGTATGTAAACTTCTGACTTCAACTGTATATATATGGATGGATATTGTCATTTAATTAATCAAAATAGCATATTAGTCTATTGGTAGTGGACGCAAATTATAACATACATAATGCACTTATTACCAAGTCAAATAACAGCCCACTCTCAATCAGATATTAAAACTTTAGGCGTATGGTCTATTAATTAATAACATATGAAACAACAACACTTACCTCTCTCGAGTAATCGTCTGGATCTTTGTTTTTGAAACCTGAATAAACAAATAGGAGATATTGTAAAGGGCCAGAGTAGTTACGGTAATAGTAGCGCCACATAAAACAGGTAGTCATGTCATGTGATATCAAAAACAGTGTAGCCTATTTGTGTCACTTTATGTTTAGCCATCAGGAGCCTACCTTTTCATTTGGTTAATGGGTTTCATTTACAGTAGCTATAAAGAACACAGTAGGCTACAGATAACTAGCTACATTGTTATTATTCACCTCTAGTACTACTACACCATGCCGTCTGGACAAGACAAGCCCCCCCATGGCCCAATGAGTGACATAAACCTGTCCTGCAGCGCATACAAAACAACATGCCAAACTTTTAACGTTAACTACACAATCATTCAATCTGGTTGTTATGCAGCGCACAATTATGAAGACGTCAATTCCTACCGTGAGCTCCGTATGCCCCAGCCGCGACAGCAAGCGCCCCCGATACTCCTGCTAACCTTTGCACAACCAAAGACGCGGTCATTGCTAAATTTCACAAGCCGATAAATGACTATGAAAGATTAAGGAAACTGCATGCAGTAGGGCGCCCGTTCGGAAGAGCATATCCGCCAGTAGAATTGTTTCCCGAACCAAAATGGCGCGTACGGTGTTACAGTTTCCAATGTCCGGCATAAATTTGATTTAACTCGGCAATGCAACTGTGGGTTATTATGCTAAATTAAAAGGTGCTTATAATAGCCTAATAATATTTTCGGTGCAGTGCCAGATCTATTCAGACAAAGACATATGGAATGACACCACAAACACAACTCTGATTTGCACTGAAAACAGTATATTTCTGTTGTCTTCAGACAGTGTTATAAAGTTATGCTATTTATCATAGGCAAAATTGCCTCGGGGGGTGGGGGGACATGTCCCCCCCAATATTCAGAACAGGCAGATATACGTTTTTGCCCAAAGTTGACCTTTAAAGTAACTGTCCAGTGTTTCCAGATTTCTATAAAATATGACCAATTGTTAATTACAATATGAGTGAAATAGTATTCCTCCCAAAAAATGGTAATTTCGTATGTTAAAAAAGTACCTTTTCTGTGTTGGAATGGTGTGGGTGTACCCCAACAACAGAATGATGTGGGCGTATACCAGTCATTAAAAATAGTCATGCGAGTAGACTGCTGATTGGCAGGCTCATCCTCTATGAGGAAATAGCAAGCATTTTTTAAATGGTCTGTTTGAGAGACAAGTTTAAGGTGAGGTTTTTAAAATGTTTTTTTCTCCATTTATGGTTTGGCCACAAATACAAGTATAAGATGAGTCAACAACATTATTTAGGTATGATTGAACAGAATATTAACTTTTAAAATAAAAGTGAGATATACGGGGGAAGAACCCCGTCTGCTGTTCACCCCCCCCCCCCCCCCCCCCCCCCCCCCAATATCTACATCACAATTTCGTTTGTTATGATGATGCACACTGGAGAGCACAGGTCAAGATTTCACTACTTTGCATTTCCTAATTTGGCGCCAATTTCAAATGTTTGCTAATGTTGGTTTATGTGGCACATTCCAATCTCTACATATGTCCCATATTATTATATAAAAGATCACACGCGATAATAAATTGTTACATTGTTTATTCTTAGAGTTTAAAGTTAGTTGGTAACCGACCTGTACTCACCACCACTGATTGTTTGAAGACTGAATTATGCAGGTTTGCGTGTTTAGTGGGCCTAATTAGAATGGTTTATGATGAGAGGTTTGCCTAATATCTTTATTCATTGAATATTTATGTGATATTATATGTTGAAATGTATTATGTATTGGCCATTGATATGATAACTATTGAGAGGTTAATTGTAAGGGAATTTATTAATGTTAATTAGGCTAGCACACCTGCTGGATAACTATGTGCAGTGACTGGTGTGCATGCTCTCCAAACCAGACCACAAACAATCAGGGGGGTGAGCAGCCTAGCTCAGTGAGGGAAAAAAGTATTTGATCCCTTGCTGATTTAGTACATTTGCCCACTGACAAAGAAATGATCAGTCTATAATTTTAATGGTAGGTTTATTTGAACAGTGAGAGACAGAATAACAACAAAACAATCCAAAAAAATGCATGTCAAAAATGTTATGAATTGATTTGCATTTTAATTAGGGAAATGAGTATTTGACCCCCTCTCAATCAGAAAGATTTCTGGCTCCCAGGTGTCTTTTATACAGGTAACGAACTGAGATTAGGAGCACACTCTTAAAGGGAGTGCTCCGTCAAATCTTGGTGAGAACCTCCTTCCCTCAGCCAGGGCATTGAAAATGGGTCGTGGATGAGTATTCCAGCACGACAATGACCCAAAACACACGGCCAAGGCAACAAAGGAGTGGCTCAAGAAGAAGCACATTAAGGTCCTGGAGTGGCCTAGCCAGTCTCCAGACCTTAATCCCATAGAAAATCTGTGGACGGAGCTGAAGATTCGAGTTGTCAAACGTCAGCTTCGAAACCTTAATGACTTGGAGAAGATCTGCAAAGAGGAGTGGGACAAAATCCCTCCTGAGATGTGTGCAAACCTGGTGGCCAACTACAAGAAACGTCTGACCTCTGTGATTGCCAACAAGGGTTTTGCCACCAAGAACTAAGTCATGTTTTGCAGAAGGGTCAAATACTTATTTCCCTCATTAAAATGCAAATCAATTCATAACATTTTTGACATGCGTTTCTCTGGATTTTTTTGTTGTTATTCTGTCTCTCACTGTTCAAATAAACCTACCATTAAAATTATAGACTGATCATGTCTTTGTCAGTGGGCAAACGTACAAAATCAGCAGGGGATCAAATACTTTTTCCCCTCACTGTACATGTCGATGACAATACAATGTAACTTTAAACTTTATAACTTAAGCTATGTTACAATTTCTTCTTGCGTGTGACATTTTATATAACAATGAGGGACATGTCTAGCAGTAGGAATGTGCTTGAAATCGCTAGTGATGGGAAACTGAGGCTTTCACCAAATTGTACCGAAAAAACGGCTCATTACTCTGAGCTTCATTATCGGTTCAAAACATACATTAGTGACATCTGCTGTTCAGCAATAAATAGCAGCATTTGATTGTCAGTTTTCAACCGTGCAGCGGTTAGTGGTTGGCTTCAGTAGCCTACAAATCAGTTGGAATACCAGGCTCACATCTTACTGTACATCATGTTTTTCCTTTTTGCCTTAAAGTTTTTTTTTTTTTTTTTTTACTGTGTATCTATGGCATTATTTAGGATACTTAAGACAGAAGCTTATACTATACTAAATAAAACATATTATTTTAACAACAATGTGCAGACAGTGTGGTTTCACATAAAACTATTTTCTAAAAAGTGTGCCTTCAACAGGATTCGACCCCATACCCTGGCGTCCCTGAATGTTCCATAGTTCCCAACTCTACCTGCTAAGCCACTGGTCAGGTGAAACTTTCTGTAAAAAATCCTAACTACATTTGTAAGTATGGTGTCCAGTAGAGTTATGTGTTTGAAAGCAGCTAGGAATCTAAGAAAGAACCGGAATCAAGGCGAATTCAATGGGATCTTGCATTTTGAAACACACGGGGAGAATTTCAAATGCATACTGCTTGCATCCTCTCGTCTCTCTCCTCACCTCCTCAAAACCCATTGGATGAGAAAGCCAAAGGTCCATCCCCTCTTCAATTCAATTTCAATTTCAATTTAAGGGCTTTATTGGCATGGGAAACATATGTTAACATTGCCAAAGCAAGTTACCTCTTACCTTCTTCTCCAATGTGTTTTGAGAAGGAGGCGAGAAGAGCAGCGAGAGGACGTGAGGAGTATTCATTTGAGAAAATAATATCACTCTTTTGTCCATAATAATCTCATCATGTAGGCTATACCCGCACTGTAACTGCGAGCTGTTGGCTAGAGTGCACGTGCCAAGACCAGAATGGGCACATTCGCTATAACCCATTTAACTTGCATTTTTTATTTGGTACATGGGAATTTAATTGCAAAAGTTATTTTTATGTGCACTATGTCATCACGCACAGCCTTTTATCCGCAACAAGTCAATTCGATGGAAACGCACCTTTTTTCTATGCAGACTTCAGAATATTCAAATGAAATCTGTCACTAATTGGATGGAAACCTAGCTACATAAAACATAAAGCACAGCAGTTTAAAAACATCAATTTATACATTGAGCAGCAAGATGGTTTGGGGAAGTGTGGGAGTTAACTAGGTCAAGCGGAAGCAGCAGAGAACTTGAACCCTTTTTTCCTAGCTCTGAATGGGGCTTAGGCACGGTCAACAAAACACAGTCACGTGAGCATAGGCAATAGTTGTAATTTGTCTGCTGAACAATGTACTGTAGGTACACAGGTAAAATGGGACCTGTCTCAGTATGGGCTTAAAAATGTTAACCTTGGGAGGTAGCGAGTGGCGACATAAAAGCTCTCAAACTCTTGTCTATGACCCGCCTGACCTCAAATTCACAGCTAAAATAAAATAAAAAATAAAACAAACTTTTTTACCTTGACTGTTTAAGAGCTACATTTGAAATCCATAATTCATAGGACTGCTTGAATTACAGCAATGTGGTTCACATAAATTATTTATAGCACTACTCTCCCATTTTCATTTTCACTCTAAAACGATACCCAGCTTTAGAGAAGGCTTAGTCTGTCTAACCCTCAATTATTGCCTTACAGACTACACACTAAAACTTGACAAAGTTACAGGGACTCAATGAAGAGAGTTGCATTAGTGTTCACTTCATGGCACATGCAATTATAATTCAAAATGCTTCTGTTTCACAAGCAGTGAGTGCCTTTTCTTGTTACAATACATTTTGAATAATGCCTAGTCTATTTTCACTGTCAACAGGAAATGTTGGAAAGATAATATTGTTTACTTTTCTTCAAAATATAAGACATTTGCTTGTATCCTTCCTTGAGAAGTGGAACAATTGTGTTAACCAGCTGGGGGCGCTATTCTACTGTCTCAACCACTGTGCAGATTTGTCCAGAAAGCTTACCCACATAAAATAAATACTACAGTTTACTACAGAAGACTACAGTACTTTCTATAAGATTCTTTAGTCAATTGTAGTATACTGTAGAATACTATATTATACACTGTAGTATCCCTCGATCATGTGTAGTACTTAGTATAGAATTTTGAAGTATACTGTAGAATATTATAGTATTATCCCCAACAGAACGCTGTAGTGAATACTACAGAAATGTTTGCAAAAACACTAAAGTGCGCAAAAACGCTATATAAATTTTTAACTATAGTAAATACTACAGTATTTAATTTGCATATACCCTGCCCATTCCCCTCCACCATATCCCAATTTGTGCCACCCGTAAGTGAGAAACCTACATGCCAAGTATAAAGCATATATTGTGTTCCCTATGGTTATAGGAAATAGCAGAAGTACAGAACTCCATGTTCAGAATGCATATCTACAGGCTATGGAAATATTGCTTTTTTAAAGTATTTCTCCAGTAGGTTTCATCAAGGAGATAACCCCCACTTCTATGTCAAAGGCAATAAAACAAAAACACTTCAGTAAGTATTACAGTAAGGTTTCTAAAAACACTACAGTAAATACTACAGTATGCTACTGTCTGCAAAAACACTACAGTAATTACTGTAGAATATGCAC